AATATCTATAGTGATATAATTCATATCTTAATATTAATTATGTAACAAGTTAAACTTTTACTCCATTAATAAAGATCGTGAGTAATGCCTCACTTTAACATAAAAAAAAAAATTATTTATTAATACTAAAAGATTTATATTTAATTATTTTTTATTTTTTAAAAAAATTTTGGGTACCACTGTATGTACAGTAGATAAAGATTCTGTATAATATTATTTGAGATGATAGTAATATTTAATATTATTATTCGTTGCCCATATTTTATAATATTATTATATTATTATAATTACCTGTCGCTCATTAGTTAATAAATATATTTGGGTTAGATATCTAATGAATATGGTCTTGGAATGACTTGTGAAAAGAATAAAGAACCTTGGGATATCAAACATAAACTATAATTATACGCCTGACATTATCGATTGGTTATAATATAGTCATAATTAGCTAATACTAATAATAATAACACAACGGATAAATTTCAGGGTATCAATGAAAACGTGACTTTACTGCAGATATATCAAAAACGCAACCTAAATTTGGGGTACTTGCCGATCTATCAAAAACGGAACCGCTGATCTATCAAAAATGAAACTTTTGCGTACATATACAGTACTGTATGAAGGCTGATTTTTTTTGTACAGTATTCTTATAACGCCAATAATATAATAATACAGAAATCTCAAAGGTAATAAATATTTGCTTTTAAAATTTATGCATTATTTTCTTCCTTTTGCTTTTTATTTCTATATCTATTTATCAATTATATTTTATTACCTAGTTTTAAAAGGCCATGGTCCCCAAATTAAATAATGATTGCATCAAAGAGATATTGGAATTTTTATACGACGACAACAGAACGTTGTTTTCATGTCTGTTAGTCTCTCGCGTATGGTGTCGGATTGGTGTGATAATATTATGGAGGAATCCCTGGCGTAATCCTCACGATTGGAGACCGCAATTTGATTCGATATTGGCATTCCTTTCTGAGGATTCAATTAAAGCGCTCAGAGAAAAAAGAATAATTGTGCGACCAACAAAACCACAACTATTTGACTATCTAGAATATGTCCAGTCAGTAACATCTCTGGGGATAATGAGTATTAGATATCAAGTATTTAAATTAAGATACATTACTTGTGTAGAGAATGATACTGACGAAAATTGTGACGTTGTTCAAGATAAAAAGCATAACGCAGTGCAACAGCAAAATGCATTTCAAGACGAGCTATGGAAACTGTTTTTAAGGAAAGGAGTTAACCTCAAATCCATCGGAATATTTGAACCACCGCCATCTGTTTCTCAATTTCCTGAAGCCATGAGAAACTTATCAAGATTAGAATCGCTTAATTGTCTATCTATTGTCAGTATTGGTCGAGTTCGGATTTATGAAGATCTTGTACAAATATGTCGTAATCTTAAAAGCTTATATATAGATGGTTGCAATGATAATCCAGTGATAGCAGAGATTATCTCGGTTCAAAATGGTTTAAAAGAATTAGAAATCATTAATACCCGTAAAATGCAGAATTTACCTTTGATCGGACATTCTTTAGCAACAAAGCAAGGAAATTCTTTGGAAGAAATCACTTTTAGATTTCACATTTGTCTTTCATCCGTAGTGCTCAATTGTTTGAAAAATTTAAAAAGGATTTACTTATTAGACCATAGAGATCCATTAGAGCTTAAGATATTAGAAGAGGTGAAAATAAAGGATTTGAAAATAGAACGGTATACTTAAAGAATAGGTGTTTTCAATTCATGCTACACTTTTACTATTTTTAAATTTACCTGAGCTAGAATTTGCAAAATTTTCAATAATTAAAATTTTTAGTGATTTAATAAATAATCATTTCTTTATGTTGCAGCTCAAATGACAATTTTCAATTAACCCCTTCCCACGGATCTGTCGATTAAATAAAAATATGCAACTCTCACTCACCTGAGAAAGCCGAGTGCAGAACCCAATATCTTTTTTCTTTGAAAATCATGGCATATAAAATGTGATAAATCAAGTATTAAACTTCTCCCCTCGGGGTTTTATTTAAGCTAATAGTATGTCACTAACTCTTAAAACCATGTGGATTAGATAAGAAGTAATATGGTGCAACTTCAAATCCACATTCCAAAAAAATGCAACACTTAAATTCAAATCATAATATAACTAATTGATTAAAAAAATTTATGATTAATATTATATATTGATAACGAATTCTTGTATCCGGATTTTTCACTTATAGTATAGATAATTTAATTATTAAAAAAAGCATACAATTTGATAAGTTTAAGGATATATAAATAGAATTTTATAATGATTATTAAATTGTTTTTAGATAAAATTTTTCATTTTATTAAGAATATTATATTTATTATAATATATCATTTATAGTTTGTTACAAAAGTCTTTGGGCTCTTATTTTAATAACTAATTAACAATATAATATAAATTTATATACAGTACATATTATTTAAAAATTTAAAGATTAAAATTAATAAAAAAAATTTATTATTATATAGTAATAATATTATTAAAATTCTATTTGAAATTAAAAAATACTTATAAATTATTATTAATTATAAATTATTTAAATAAAAAAATTACAAAAAAATTATATAATAATTTTTTTAATTATTGTTTAATAAACTTTTTAGTAAGATATGAAAAATAGTATAATATTTTATATAAATTAACCCATTTTTCTAATTCCTATAATCAATACTTTTTATAATAAAATTTTATTTAATAATAAAAATTTGTATTTAATTTATTTTTAAAATCAATTATTATTTTTATAAATAAACCTTAAATAAAATTTTTAAAATAAACTTATTAATTAATTATTAATATAAATATATATATTTATTTCTTATTATATAAAAAATATTTTTTTATAATTCAAATATTAATATTTATTTTTAACAAAAAATAATCTTTTAAAAAATTTCAAAAATTATTAATTAACTTGTAAAATATCTAAATAAAAAAATTATAAAATATATACTATATATATAATTTATTAATTAATAATTAATAATTATTTTTTATTGTTAATAAAAATTATATATTATTTTTATCAAGCCTTTTATTTTTAAATTTAAATTTAATAATAATTTTATTATATAATAAAAAATAATTGCAATCTTTAAATATATAATAAAAAATATATAAATATTTTTTTGTTTTATTATATAATTATTTATTAAATTATAAATCAAAATAAAATTTAAAAAAAGTTTTAAAACTTTTGTAACAAATTATATATAAAAATATTTTTTTTGTTTTTATTTTAATAAATTATAAATATATAAAATATTGTTCTTTCTATAAAAATAATATTTAGTAATAAATTATTATTTATATTTGATATTATTATTATTATTTTATTGAATTTTGTTATTTAATATTGTAATTAAATTTTATTTAGATATCATTACTTAAATATACAATATTTAATAAAGTATTGAATATATATTTTAATAACTTATTAAATATATATTCTAATAATTTAAATAATATATATTTTTTTATTAATTTGTTTTAATGAAATCAATATACAGTGTATAACAAAACTTTTTGGAATTTTATTTATGTGACATAAATATAAATAACTTTTCCAAAACAAAAGCAATTCATATAAAATTTTAAACATGTAAACAACATATCTTAACAAATATATATATACCATTAAATTTTTCAACTTGTTTTATTTTTTTTATAAACATATCCTTACAATGTTATTTTCTGAAAAACATATACAACGTCAAACTATATTATATTTGTGAAAGAAAGAAATTACTTTTGCAAATAAAATATATTCTAGAACTGGTATAACCATGTCAACTATTTATTACAATCTTAAAAAATTAAATTTCAAAGAAAATAATTCATAAAAATCTGGTGGAGGTTAATCTAAAAAGATTACTACACATGAATCAAAACAATTGATTAATACTTATACCATAATCCAAGATTTTCTACAAGAACTTTGGCAATTAAATTGTTAAATATGGATATTAAAATATCTCATATAACAATTTCAAGATATCTAACAAGTTTGAGTTATAAAAATAATCTATCTTTGAAAACTCCTATACTTACTACTGCTCATAAAGAAGCTCATGTTATTTGAGCAAAAAAATATCTTAATCATAATTGAAAAAGGACTTTATTTTCTGATGAAACAGCATTTCAACTATTTAGAAATACAATTATTTAATGATATAAAAATGCAAGATCAATTAGAAGAATACTTAAAAATCCAATCAAAATTTTTGCTTGGAGAAAATTTTGTATAAAAGAAAAAACTTCTCTTTTTTGTTTTAAAGAAATTATGGATGCAAAATTTTATGTTAATATTTTGTAAAACCATAAATTAGAAATTATTGAATTGCTTGAAAATAATTTTTATTTTTAATATAACAATAATTCAAAACATATAAGCAAAATTGCTAAAACATTTGTTAATGAAAATTTTTCTAAAATTATAGATTGGCCTTCTAATAGTCCAGACTTAAATCCTATTGAAAATCTTTGGGCTATTGTTAAAAGAAATGTAGAATTAAGATTACCTAAAAATATTTTAGAATTAGAACAATTTATGATAGAAGAATGGGATAAAATTCCAAATAAGGTTTTAAATAATTTTATAGATTCAATGAAAGAGAGATATGAATTAATAATTGAAAATAATGGTGAAAGAATTAATTAGTAATTATATATTAATAAAATCTCTAGGTTTTTAGCTTTATTTTGATATATTTTTTATTAATTTCTATGCAGTAGCTTTTGAGTAATGAATAAATAAAAAATTTCAAAATTTTTTGTACCACACTGTATATAGTCAAATATGATTACTAATTAAAAAAAATTCTTTTAATTATCTAGCTTCCCCCCTCTTGATCAATCACCTCTAAAACATGATTTTCCATACATATCGCTAATGTAAGAAATAGATCTTTATCTAATTCATCCCACACCCAATAAATAATTTGTTAAAAAATATTATTCAAAAGATTTTTTTTTTTATTAGATATAAGTTTGATTCTTTTTTGACCTTGCCCTTAAGTATTGCTCATAAATTCTCAATTGGGTTTAGGTCAGGTGAATAGGTAGGCCAATTGAGAATTCAGATGCCTTGGTCTTTGAGGAGACAACATGTTTTTTTTGAATTATAAACAAGAGAATTATCCTGTTGAAAATAAAACCTGCGGCAAGCTAACCTAGAAAATTGAGAAAAAAAACGAGTTTCAAGAATTTCTTGGTATTTAGTAAAATTAAAATTTTCTGTGAATAAAACTAGCATAATCAGGTCTTGTACCAAAAATACAATCCAAGCATGAACTTTGTAAAGATGTTTCACCATACTTCAGTATGGTCGCGACTCTCCACAATGGTATCTTATTAACTGTATATTTTTAAACATTTGAAAGGTTATTTTGTTAGAAAAAATTGTGTGGTGCCAATCATGATTAACATGATCTTGAGCCCATTCAAGACGAGCAACGATATGGTGAGGCTGGAGAAGAGGAATGGCAACCGGATAACAAATGACAAACTGAAGGGCTTGTTTTAATGTATATTAAACAGTATGAATAGAAACCTTCAGATGAGGATTTTTGAGGACAAGTCTTTCGACTATTTCAGCTGCAATAGCAGATTTATTGATCTGCATGATCTGACCAAGGTGACAAAGTTGTGGAGGTGTGAGAATTGGAGATCTTCCAGGTATAGGAAGTGGTATAATGAAAGATCTTTTTTTAATTCAATTGATTATATCATATACTGTGGACTTTGGGTAACCTGTTATAGGAATTATTTCTGCAGGTTTTCAAACATTATTTGCTTAAAGCTGATTTACGACTATTCTTTGCATTTCGGGCTTTGATAAAGATAACATTTACATTGATTTTTTTTTTAATAATTATAAAAAAAATTTTTTTTAAATATAAGTCATTAAATATATTCTTACTTTAATTAAATTTTATATTATATAGGTTGTTGTTTTATAGAATGACACGTAATATAACTTTAAATATGCTAGATCAAAATTCTGGATATTTATAACACCTACTGTATTTAATAACATGTACAGTTATTTAAAAATAACAAATATTAAATTTTTATATTTAATTATAATTATTAATTAATTTTAATTAATTGTTAATAGTAAAAAAAGACAAAGATTCTTACTAATTGGCAATTTAATATCTAAACTTTTCATGCTAGCAACTAGAAAATATATTTTTCAAGATCTGTAATTAATTCAAAAAAATGAATCAATCTGGCTATACAACTTCAGTTGTATCATAAAAACATACAAGAGAAGCCATAGTATAAATGAAAGAGCAAATATTAAAGAAAAACTTTATTCTATTGATCAAAACAAAATTTTGTTTAGGTATAATAATTGTTCCAAAAAACCATTAGACAAACTGCAAAATACTATACAAAGATATAATTAATAACCTAAAACAAACAATTCAATTTCTACAAACTCACTGCACTTTTTACAAACCATCTTACAATTTGCTTCCACAGTACAATAACATAACTACTCAAATAAATTTATACTTTAATTTCTAACCTTCCTTATATACTTTAACTAATTATTCCAGATTATCACCCTTTTAATTCACAAATACACTAAAAAAATCAATTATCTTTACAAAACCTTCAATATATTAAACTTAAAAAAAAATCCAAATAACTTTTTAATCTAACTTTCAAAACTTTTATTATAC